TCTCTCTGCTACTCCTTGGGAGACATGGCAGAAGGCAAGCCACATGGACGCAACCAGACCTCGGAAGCCGGAGAAGTCACAGAGAGACCCCTCCCAGCACTGAGATGTCTCTAATGACACTGGATCCAAAGACTCTCTACCCACTGGCCTGTGACCTTCTGCATTCGGCATCATTGCATGTGTTTCGTGAGTCTGAAGAGGCCTTTATAGATTGATATTGGAAATATGGGCTAATATCAGACTTAAGAACTTGATCTGGACTGGGCTGGAATGTTTTCTCCATGTTCCATTGCTCTTGTATATAAACCTCTTTCTTATATACATAGGTGTGTCGATGGATTTGTTTCTCTAGTCTACCCAGACTAACGCAGAGAGAAACTGCGATTCTCAACCCAAACATTCCCAAGAAACCGCCCCCTGCCAGTAGCGGGGAGAGAGTACAGTGGAGTGGGCACCTTCACCCCAGCAACAGAGTGGCCTGTGCCTGCCTTCTCACACCCAGTGGGCATGGAAACCTGCCCTCTCCCCTGCTGACCCTCTCTGGACACTTCTGCCCCAGCTTCCAGAGAGGTAAAGGCACCCAGCTGGGCGGAGCCAGAATTCCTGGCCCACAGAAACTGGGATACAATGTTTGGTGATAGGAGATGCTAAGTTCTGGAGTCATGCCACACAGCAGTGATAAGGAATACAAGTCCACCAGGCTCTGCTTCTCCTAAACTCACCCCTGCCACACTGGCCACCTTTCTAACCTCCTCTCCACTCCATCTGAATCTCTGCACCTGCTGTGCCTGCTCTCTGCCACTGTTCCCAGACTTGGGCAGGCTGGTCCCTCTTGTCAGTCTGGCGACACATAAATATCACCTCAGTGAGACGTCAGCTAGACCCGCTCTCCCTGCATCCTTGGTTTTCACACCAGCACCTGCTCTGTCCTTCCTCGGGTCCTGCATTTGCTTTCATGCCTTTGTCCCTTCCCCTCCAGTCTTTGCACTGCTATGGGACCAGACCACGCGGTCATTTCCAGCCCTGCACCCACAGCACCTGGTAGAGAGTAAGTGCTGGCGCCTGGCTACTGAAGGAGAGGCTCTCACATGCCCTTCCCATCCCATCTCTCTCAGCACAGAGGGTGGAGAGGGATGTCCGAGGAGGTGTGATTCTTTTTATGCGGCCGGCCGCGGACATTTATCCGGCCCACCGGGTGTTTTTGCTGCCACTGCCTGTCCTGCTTAGCAGCCGACTCCTCCAGTGTGCACAGGAATTTGTTTATAGGTTTTTTTAAAACTATAGTCCGGCCCTCCAACGGTCTGAGGGACAGTGAACTGGCCCTCTGTTTAAAAAGTTTGAGGACCCCTGGTTTAGACTGTCAGGGCATGGTCAGGGGCTTGGTAAAGGAGTGTCTCCTGAATGAATGGATGGGTCCCCTCTTCTGTAACTTCTCTAGATCAGAGATTCAAAGATGGAAGGACAGCAACCCTGGGGGTGACAGAAAGTGGGGAAGGTAATAAATGGCAGGGGAGGAGGGAAGCCCCAAGGGAGGGGGACCTACTTCCAGGTCCTCCTGGGATCTGTGAGTTCAGACAACTAACCTCGTCTATATTCTCGGGCACCGAGGCTCAGGGAGGAAAAGCCACTTTCCCCAAGCCACAGAGGGACTTGTTAGGGTAGAGCTGGCCCTAAGCCTCCAGCCCTTCTAAGCAGGCTTG